CTGGGGGCACATGGGCTGGGGGTGGGTGGGGCTGGTCTAGAGAATGGATCCAAATGGCTCTGAAGGAATCTCAGAAAGTCACTGCAACTTAAAAATCCTTCCTTCTATCCCCTCACCTCCACATTTTTGCAGATACAGACACCACAGCCAAGAGGGGACATAGTCATCCTCCAATCCGGCGGGTAGGGTGGCCAGACAAAGCACAGGATGGCCAGTTAATTATGCATTTCAGATACACTGAATAATTTGTTAGTGTAAGTATATCCCAAATATGCCTGGGCCATACTTATACTACAAACATATTCACTCTTTTATGTGAAGTTCAGATGTAATTGGCTGTCCTGTACAATGCCTTGTTAAATCTGGCACCCCTTGTGAAGGGTGAAATGAAGACTAGAATGATAATCATAACAGGCAGTGGAAAACCCCTATGCCCATTTTACAGACAAGGAAACCGCAGCTTAGGGAGGGCGAGTGACTTACCCAGGGCCACACTAACGAGTGTCAGAGGCAGGATTTGAACTCAGGTCCTGAGTCCAGAGGCCTCAACTTCACCGTGGTGGCCAGGAGCACCTCCCTCCTCTTTCGTCTACATGCATGCCCTGTCTTGAATCTAACACCCTCCCCATCGTGTGAGGTGGGCTGTTTCCCTCCGTGACTTTGGAAGACCCCAACTTCAGCAAGGGTCTCTGTCTATGGGCCCCCATGACCTGGTGGCGCCATCCTTGTCAGATTCCCTGACACGCCTGTCTCAGACCCCTTGGGGCCTGCAGCCAGGTTCCTGGGGTCACATGACATCCCGCCTCCCCTCTGTTCCCCCAGCTCCTGGGTCCCTCTGCCCTCACCGCCATTGCCGTCTTCCTGAGCCTCCTTCCTCTGAATTTCTTCATCACCAAGAAGAAGACCCACTATCAGGTTTGGCATTTGGGAGAAGGGACAGACCAGGCCGGAAGTAGGGAGGGACCCGCAGGTCCAGGACAGTGTTGGTGTTGGGGAAGGGGAGGGGGAGGCAATGGGAGGCCGTGGGTCTGGCTGTGTCCTTGTTGTGTGTGTCGCTGTCGTGGCTTCAGGAAGACTTCTTGACGGTCCCTGTCCTTGTCCCTCCGGCCCCAGGAGGAGCAAATGCGGCAGAAGGACTCTCGGGCACGGCTGACCACCTGCACCCTCAGGAATGCCAGGGCCATCAAGTCCCACGGCTGGGAGGAGGCCTTCCTGGAGAGAGCCCTGTGCGTCCGTCGCCGTGAGCTGTGCGCCCTGCGCACCTCCGGCCTCCTCTTCTCCACCTCGCTGGTGTCCTTCCAAGTGTCCACGTTTCTGGTGACGTCACTCTGGCCTCTGCACAGAGCATGTCTGGGGAGGGAGTGCGGGATGGGGTGAGGTAGGTAGGGCCTCTGGATCCTTCCTCCCCATCCATCCATGCCCACCTGTCCTGGATCCAGTTCTGGGGGAGGAGGGGAGGTCCCTGCTTCCTGCTGCTGAGCTGGTTCATCAGATCACCCCCGTGAAGGTAGCAGTGGCTGGCAAAGTGTTCTGAGAGTCCTAGGCCTCTGGGATTGCCTCTTCTGCTGACGTGGGGAGGAGGTGACAGGTGCAGGAAGCCGCAGGGGTAGAACCTGGGTCTCTGTGGCATCTGGGACGCCGGCCAGCAGATGTCTGTGTCTGCCTTCCTGCTGGACGAGGCACCTGTCTTGCAGTTCTGTAATTGATTTATCAGATTCCTGCCTGATTAGCCTTCCTAGAACACAGCCTTACTGATATGCAATATTTATACATATTTATGGGATGCGTGTGATGTTTTATTACAGTGCGTACAATGTGTCAAGTCAGGGTCTTTGAGGTGTCCACCATTTCCAGAATTTATCATGTCTCTGTGTTGGAAACATTTCAAGTCCTCTCTTCTAGCTATTTTGTTTAGTTTCATTTTCTTTTCTTTTCACTTTTTTCTTCTTCTTTTGAGTCAAAGTCTCACTCTGTCACTCAGGCTGGAGTACAGTGGCACAATCATGGCTCACCACAGCCTCAACCTCCTGGGCTCATGTGATCTTTCCTTCTACCTCAACTTCCTGAGTAGCTGGGACTACAGGCATGCACCACCACACCAGGCTAATTTTCTGATTTTTGTAAAGATGAGTTCTCTCTCTATTGCCTTGACTGGTCTCGAACTCCTGGGCTTAAGCAATCCTCCTGCCTTGACCTCCCAAAGTTCTTGGATTACAGGTGTGAGCCATCATGCCTGGTTCCTCTAGCTGTATTGAAATGTACAGCACGTTGTTGTTAACTATAGCCACTGTTCTGTGCTGTCAAACACTAGCTCTTACTCCTTCTAACTCTGTACTCTTAAACCAACTTCTCTTCATTCTCTCGCACTCATATCCTTCCCAGCCCCTGGGAACCCCTGTTCCTCTCTCTACCTCCATGAGATCAACTTTTTAGCTCCCACATGTGAGTGAAAACGTGGCATTTAACTCTCTGTTCCTGCCATATTTCACCTACATAATGTCCTCCAGTCCCATCCATGCTGTTGCAAGTGACACGGTTCTGTTTTTTTTTCTGGCCAAATAGTATTCCAGTGTGTGTATATACATGTGCCACATTTTCTTTACTGATTCATCCACGGGTGGACACCTAGTTGATTCCACATCTTGGCTATCATGAACCAAGCTGCAGTGAGCACGGGGTGCAGATGTCCTTTCAATATGCTGGCTTCCTTCCCTGCCTTTGGACACATACTTAGAGGGTGGGGGGGGGGGGGGGGGGGGGTCGGGTCCTACGGCAGCTCTGTCTTTAGTCTTTAATCTTTGGAGACATTCCCACACTTTTTTCTGCTGTGACTGTGCCAATTGTGCCAATTGACACTCTTGGCACTAGCTAATGTGCAGCTCTGACTTTAGTCATGCCCTTGCAAAGAGACGAGATCTCAATTGTAGACTCCAGTGGATGCTGACTCCAAGACCCCGTGGAAGGCAGCTCAGAAGAAGCAGGGAGCAGCCGACTTCAGGCCCCAGGAGCTGGGCCCCACCATCTCCATGGAGGTCTAGAACCACAGGGGCCCCTGCACAAGAGCAGACGTCACTCACATGGTCAGCCTTCAGAGCTACAAGCGCCATCGCCTAGAGCCAGGACACACTCCAGATAGGGTCACTGGGTCATCATGCCAAGGGACAATCACACTGAGTGCCTGCACCAAGCGACCATCACGCCACTTGATCATCACAAGAGTGACCACTGTACCGAGTGACCTTCATGCCATTGCACTGAGTCACCATCACACAAAAGTAATCACTGCACTGAGTGACCTTCACACAGAGTGCCCACAGCAAGTAATCTTCACACCAAGTGATCATCACAGGAGTGACCATGTACCGAGGGACCCTCACACCAAGTTACCATCACACCAAATGACCTTCACACTGTCACACTGAGTGATCATCACATAAGAGTGACCACCGCACCGAGTGACCTTTGCACTGAGTGACCATCACACCATCACGTTGAGTGACCACCACATAAGAGTGACCATCACACTGAGTGACCATCACATAAGAATGACCATCACACTGGGTGACAATCACACTGAGTGACTATCACATAAGAGTGACTATCACATTGGGTGACAATCACACTGAGTGACCATCACATAAGAGTGACCATTGCACTTAGTGACATCACACCAAGTAACCATCACACTGAGTGACCATCACACTGTCACACCGAGTGACCATCACTCTGAGGGACCTTCACATAAGAGTGACCATCACACTGAGTGACCATTACTCTGAGTGACCCTCACATAAGTGACCCTCACATAAGAGTGACCATCACACCGAGTGACCATCACACTGAGTGACCGTCACATAAGGGTAACCATCGCACTGAATGGCTTTCACACTGAGTGGCCTTCACACCATCATACTGAATGACCATCACATAAGAATGACCTTCACATAGGTGTGACCTTCACACCAGGGCCCATCAACTATCACACCATATGAACATCAAGCCAAGTGACTATATGCCAAGTGACCATCACAGTAGCACCTGGCACCAAAACGCCACCAACAGCCGGAGCTGAACCATCCCTGGTGACACTGAGAACCACAAGTGCTGCTCCCTGCAACTCCAGAGTCATTTCCCGGGGACTCCGGGGGTCACAAGTCCCAGCACCTCTGGAATGATGAAAATATTACCAGAATTGAAAACTGTCATCTAGGGACGGTGGCTGATGCTTGTAGCCTCAGCACTTTGTGAGGCTGAGGCGGGAGGATTGCTTGAGCCCAGGAGTTTGAGACCAGCCTGGGTGACATAGCGAGACTTCATCTCTACAAAATAAAAATTTAAAAATTAGCCTGGCATGATGGTGCACACCTGTAGTCCCAGCTACTCGGAGGCTGAGGCAGGAGGATTGCTTGAGCCCAGGATTTCAAGGCTGCAGTGAGCTAAGATCATCCCATTGCACTCCAGTCTGGGCAAGAGAGTGGCACCCTGACTCCAAAGGAAAAAAAAAGAAAGGAAAGAGAGAGAGGGAGGGAAAAAGGAAGGAAGGAAAGAGAGGGAAAGAGAGAGAGAGAAGAGAAGCCTGTGCTGTCCCCCAGTGCCTGGACCAGAGTTAGTATGTCTAGCCATGGGGACGCACACGTATCCTTCATCAACACACTCGTGTCCTTGGAGAGAGCCTTGCGTGGCCTGTGATCTAGAGAGGACTGGAGTTAGCTGGGTTGGGGTGAAACCCCTGAAGGGAACCCACACGGACATCACAGGCCACGTGGATCCCAGAGGTACCAATGCCTGCCAGACTTCCCCAGCCATGCCCACCGCCTCACTGTCACCCGTGTGTCCCCAGGTTGCGCTGGTTGTGTTTGCCGTTCACACGCTGGTGGCTGAGGAGAATGCCATGGATGCGGAGAAGGCCTTTGTGACACTCACGGTCCTCAGCCTCCTCAACAAAGCCCAGGCCTTCCTCCCCTTCTCCATCCACTCCTTAGCCCAGGTGAGGTGGGCGGGGCTGGGGGGTCCGTGGGCTGTGACTAGCACCGTCTGCCCAGGCAGGTGCTATCCACAGAGCAGGAGGACAGAGAAGGAGGGAGACTGGCAGTGGTGTGAATGGAGCAGGAAGGAGGTGAGGGGAGGCAGGAGTGCAGGGGGAGGTGCCAGTGAGGAGGTCACTGGGGTCCAGGGACCACATAGGGACCTCAGCAGACATCCTCAAAATATGCAAGCCTGTCTGTCCAGCAGTTCCACATGCAAGGGTTTGGTCCAGCTTCCTTTTTAATTTGTTTTATTTTTATTATATTGAAGTCACTCTTTTTTTCTTTTTTTTGAGTCAGAGTCTCACTCTGTTGCCCAGGCTGAAGTGCAGTGGCATACTCACGGCCACCACAGTCTCCACCTGCTGAGCTCAGGCGATCCTTCCATCTCAGCCGTCCAAGTAGCTGAAACTACAGGCATGCGCCACCACGCCTGACTAATTTTTTTGATTTATTGTGGAGGCGAGGTCTCATCAAGTTGCCCAGACTGGTTTTGAACCCCTGGGCTCAGGCAATCCGCTCACCTCCACCTCCCAAAGTGCTGGGATTACAGGTGTAGCCACTGCATCCAGGCTGTATTTACTTACTTTTGAGACAGCATCTCACTCTGTTGTCTCTCAGGCTGGAATGAAGTGCCTTAATCATAGCTCACTGCTGTCTTGAAATCCTGGGCTCAGGCAATCCTCCTACCTTGGCCTCCTCAGTAGCTGGAATTACAGGTGCATACCCCCACACCTGGCTAATGTTTTTTATTTCTGTAGAGGCAGGTGTCTCGCTGTTGCCCAGGCTGGTCTTGAACTCCTGGCCTCAAGAAATCCTCCAACCTCAGCCTCCCAATGTGCTGGGATAACAGATGTGAGCCACTGCACCTGACCTGGTTCTCCCTTTTCTTTTTTACAAAGCAATTTTGTTTCTCTCCCTTTACTGTCTCGTGTCCTCTCAATGGGAACTCCTTGAGCATGATGAAAATGAGAAACAGCCACTTAACTGAACTGTCTCTCTTTTTTTTTTTTTTTTTTTTTTTGAGTTGAAGACTCATTCTGTCGCCCAGTGCAGTGCACTCTCAGGGCCACCGCAGCCTCAACCTGCTGGGCTCAGGTGATCCTTCTGCCTCAGCCTTCCAAGTAGCTGGAACTACAGCATGTGCCACCATGCCCAGCTAATTTTTTGATTTATCGTAGAGGCGAGGTCTCACCAAGTTGCCCAGGCTGGTCTCAAACCCCTGGGCTCAGGCAGTCCTCTCACCTCGGCCTCCCACAGTGCAGGGATTATAGGCGTGAGCCATTTTGACAGTTACCTCTTTCTTCCCCAAAGATGGGTTTGTGACTGGGAACTAGGAGGCCACTCCTTGGTGGACAATGTTTGAAACCGTCCCATATACTGTCTTAGTATCATTGGAAAAGCCACTGTCCCCTTCCCTGCTGTCTGCAGAACAGCAGCTGGACGATTCTAATTTCGCTGATTAGGAGAGAGGAGGTAGGAGATCACCACCACCATCAAGGTCAAGTGTTCACTGTTTCCCACAACCTGGAATGTTTCATCCTCACACCTTGCAGACTTGCAGAGCTTGCTAGACAGGAAGCTGTCCCCATGCATCTTGAGACACCTGATGCCTGAGTCCTTTACTCTTCTGGCTTTGTGACCTGGGGCTTCGGTTTCTCCAGGCCCGGGTGTCCTTTGACCGTCTGGTCACCTTCCTCTGCCTGGAAGAATTTGACCCTGATGCTGTGGACAAAAGTCCCTCTGGATGCTGTGAGTACTGGGTCCCACAGAGGGCTGAGGGAGGGGTAGGGGGATGCCCAGCCAGCATTGCAGTGGGCACGAGGACCACTGGGTCCCACTGTGAGTGAGGGAGAGATGGGGATAACCAGCCAGCATCTACACTGAGCATGGGGACTGCCTGCAACAGGGAGCACATGACAGTCAGGCACCATGCTGCTGTTCTTTCTGCCAGTGGTTCAGGGACCACTCATAAGCACCTACTGTGTGCCCTTCTGAGTGTACAGTGGTAAATGCACCAACAGACCAGGTCCTTGTCCTTGTGCAAAAAGTCCAGGGTGATAAACATTGCGAAGATTTTCTCAAGCTAGAAAATAAAACCAGAGTCACAAGCATCATTTGCTAGGCTTCCCTACTCTGCCCCATCCATCTCTCACCGCACACCTGTGGGTCTAGTGACATTAACTGACCAGCTGTGGGGGCAGGGCAACTATCACCGGGTCAAGACACCCTCCTCTTTGTTGTAACGCAGGAATCTGGTCAACCTACTTACCTGGGAAACACTCACATGGTTGTTAAAAGCCCAGTCTGTGGTGTTGGGTTGCTCAGGCCTAAGCCCAACCTAGCACTGATGAACGGGGTGACCTCGGCAAGTCATTCGTCTCTCTGAGTCTCAGTGTTCTCATCTGAAAAATGGGCATGTCAATCCTCACAGCACCTATTGCATATGGTTGTTGTGAGTGTCAGATGGGTTCATTTAAGGGCTGCACTTAGAAAAAGTCCTGGTGCAAAGTTCGTGTTCAGTTATTACTAGAAAAAAAAAACCCAAGTCAGCAAAGAGGCCATTAAGTAACCCACAACTGGTGATTCTGAGAGTACTCAAAGCTCTAACACATACTCAGCCAGACACAGCATTGTTGGTGTGATTTGGAGGCTCAGCCCCAGGCCCTGGGTTGCCACCTTCACCTGTGTGGCCTTGGGTGGTAACCCCTCCCCTTCAGGCTGTGGATTCCCAATGGTCTCTGGCAGGACTGTCACCAGGTCTGCTCAGGAGACAGCAGTGCATGGCTTTTAGGACCCACTCAGGCAATAGCTTAAGCCTGTGATGACTGCCATTATCCCACGGAGGCCATGCTATCCAGTCAGAGACCCCTGTGTATTGTTTTAGCAAGACTTTGACACCCTTGGGCACCTGGCTGGAGCCACAGCCTCCCTCTCCCACTGTCCCTGCTTGTCCCCCAAAAGCATGTGAAAGTGACATTGTATTCATCCCTCCATTTTGTGTTGCCATGAGACAAGAGCAGCCTGGGCTTTTCAACACCCAGCTCTCATGAGAACTAGTCGAGCTAGAATTCATTCATCACCTCTGAATGGCACCAAGCCATTCGTGAGGGATCTACCCCCATGACCCAAGCCCCACCCACCAGGCCCCACCTCCAACACGGGGGATCACATTTCAGCCTGAGATCTGGAGGAGACAACAATATAAACACAACAGTGAGTGGACGTTTGCCACATGCCAGCACCGCTCAGAGTGCAGGGTCCTCACCGCACACAGATGTGCAAGGTAGTAACTAATCATGGTGATGGATATCCTCATTAATTGCTTGTAGTATCCACTGCACAGTCACACATCTGTCAAGTCATCACATTGTTCACCTTGAATATGTACAATTTTCATTATTCAGTTATACCTTAGTAAAACTGGGGGGCAATGTTCTATATAGTGATAAACTTGCCTAACCCTCATCACAACCTTATGAGGTGGGTGCTTCTATGACTCTCCTGTTTTACAGATGGGGAAACAGAAGGAAGGAAAAAGGAGAATCCCCATGGCTTAGGTTGTTAAAAAAGGGCAAGTTGGCCCTGCGTGGTGGTGTGTGCCTGTAGTCAGCTACTCAGGAGGCTGAGGCTAGAGAATCAGTTGAGCCCAGGAGTTAAAGGCTGTGGTGAGTGGCGATCACACCACTGCATTCCAGCCTGGGTGACAGAACAAGACCCTGTCTCAGAAAAGAGAGAGAGAGAGAGAGAGAGAGAGAGAGAAGAGGAAAGTAGAAGGAGGACAGGAAGGGAAAGGAAGAAGGAAGGAAAGCAGCCTTTAAAAATATGCAAATGAATGGCCGTGGCTGCATTCCAATAAAACTTTACTTACAAAGCCAGGCAGCAGACAGGCTTTGGTCCCTGGGCCATGGTTATGCAGAGGAAATGGGATCCCTACAGGGTCACACACATACCGGTGGTGCAGCAAGGCGATTTGTTCAGGGGGAGAGACTTCCAGCTGCCCCTGGGGAGGGTGGTGGGGCCTGAGGGTCTCCAGATGAAGAGGCCACTAGGCAGGGTCTCCTGTGACTGGTGTCTTGTGCTCAGCAGATGCCAGGAAGGATTGCATCACCATACACAGGGGCACCTTCGCCTGGTCCCGGGAAAGCCCTCCCTGCCTCCACAGGTACAGAGCAACTCCCCAGGAACCACCCTTGCATTTACAGGAAGAGAATGTGTGGGTGTCCTGCCATTTCCTACCTGAAGAAGGGGCTGGAGAGGTCCGGGCCCAGGCTGGGGGAGGGTCCCAGGGTTGGCTCTGGTGGAGAGTCGGGAAGGCAGGGGCTCCTGTGGGTGGGGGACCAGGCATCTGAGCCAGACCAACCAGTTGCGGGGTGACGCTCCTCAGCTCCTAGGCTGGCCAAGATGACACCAAGGAAGACCTGGCTGAGAGGAGCCTCAGGGACCAGCCCCACCAGCAGTGCCCACTTTTGTGCCGCCTGTGTCAGTCCCAAGGTCATTGTCACCTCCAGCCCCCAACTCTGTGGCTGGGTCTTTGTGGCTGAAAACCCCAGTCAGCTCCTAAACTCACTAGGAAGGGATAGAAAATACCCTGGGCTGTGTTAGTATCAAATGTTGTTTATCACTTCCAGCATGGATTGGGCACTCCCTGTGTATGCCAGGTCCTGTTCGGTGCTGGGGATGGAGGGAAGGAAACAAACAAGGGCCCTGCTTTCTCTCCGTTTTTTTTTTTTTGAGTTGGAGTCTCACTCTGTCGCCCAGGCTGGAGTGTAGTGGCACGCTCACGGCCACCCCGGCATTGACCTGCTGGGCTCCGGTGATTCTTCCGCTTCAGCCTTCCAAGTAGCCAGAACCACAGGCATGTGCTACCACACCCAGCTAATTTTTTAAAATTTATTGTAGAGTTGAGGTCTCTCCAAGTTGCCCGGGCTGGTCTCGAACCCACAGGCTCATGCAATCCTCTCCCTGCCCTCCCGGATCCTGCCCTTGCCCTCGCCCCCACTCCTGTCATGTCCCACAGCTCACCCTCCACCCAGCACCCGGAGGGACCTGCCAAAACCCAGTCAGATCTGACCCTGCCCTGCTGGAACCCTCCATGCCCCCACTTCACTCAGGCAGAGCAGGGAGGCACCAAGCGGAAGGAGGCTGATGTCCTTCACAGTTGTCAGGACTCTAGCTTTGGCCTGAGTGAAGTGGGGGCATGGAGGGTTCCAGCAGGGCAGGGTCAGATCTGACTGGGTTTTGGCAGGTCCCTCTGGGTGCTGGGTGGAGGGTGAGCTGTGGGACATGACAGGAGTGGCAGTGAGGGCAAGGGCAGGAGCCAGGAGGGCAGGGAATTGTGCCTACTGACCAGCCGAGGCAGGAGGCCATGCTGGTAAAACACTCAGGCAAAATCAGCTGTGTGTGTGCATGTGCATGTGTGCACACTGGATGGGCGTGCATGCACGTGTGTGCACATGTGTGGTGGGGTGTGCATATGGCTACGTCTTGGTATAGACATGGGTGGGGCCCTGACTGCGGGGGGGACACATCTCCCCTCCTGGGTTGCCAGGATAAACCTCGCCGTGCCCCAGGGCTGTCTGCTGGCTGTCGTGGGCCCAGTGGGGGCAGGGAAGTCCTCCCTGCTGTCCGCCCTTCTCGGGGAGCTGACAAAGGTGGAGGGCTCCGTGAACATCAAGGTGAGACACCCCCCCACCTGTCTGCCAGGCTGTCCCCATCCTCAAAATCTCTTCCTGCTCCTTTCCCCTCCCTCCCACCCTAAGAGCCCAGCTCTCCCCAAACGGCTCCCACCTGGAGCCAAAGTGAACTGTGTTTCAGGGCCCAGTGGCCTACGTGCCCCAGGAGGCCTGGGTGCAGAGCAGCTCTGTGGCGGAGAATGTGTGCTTCCGGCAGGAGCTGGACCTGCTGTGGCTGGAGACAGTGCTAGAGGCCTGCGCACTGCGACCGGACCTGGATGGCTTCCCCGCGGGAGTCCACACCCCAATTGGGGAGCAGGTGAGCATCTCAGTTCTCCTTGGGGCAGGAAGACATTGCAGTTGGGGACTACTTGCTTCCCTGGGCCCTGGGCAGTGTGACAGAGAGACAGAGGGGATCAGGGAAGCACGGGGGAAGAAAGCCCGGTTCAGGGTTAAGCATGCAGTAGGCATTCAATAAATGGTTAGTAATTGGTGATTGTGCCACTGCATGCTGGGCGACAGAGCGAGACCCTGTCTCTTGAAAAGAAAAAAAAAGAAAAAAGAAACAGAGGGCCAGTTGGGAGGGCCAACGCAGCACCATAGGGGAGGCTGACAGTGGCAGGACCAGAAGGTTCCACTTTTACCTTGAAGGTGGATCCAACAGATAAGACATGGGTGTAAAAGAAGGACAGAACTCAGCTGGGCACAGTGGCTCACACCTATAATCCCAGCACTTTGGGAGGCAGAGGCGAGAGGATTGCCTGAACCCAGGGGTTCGAGACCAGCCTGGGCAACTTGGTGAGACCTCGTCTCTACAAAAAATTAGCCAGGTATGGTGGCATACACCTGTAGTTTCAGCTACTTGGAAGGCTGAGGTGGAAGGATTGCCTGAGTCCAGCAGTTCAAGGCTGCGAAGCCAAGAGCATGCCACTGCACTCCAGCCTGGGCAGACAGAGTGAGACTCCAGACAGAGTGAGACTCCAACTCAAAAAAAAAGGACAGGACTCAAGGAGGTCTGAACCTCCGGAAGGACAGAGCCTTTATCACCTGAGACGAGAAGTTCGCAGGAGGAGGAGGCTCTGGGATGTTCAGACCTGGGGACAGCTGGCACCCCCCGCTTCTTGAAGCACCCTTCTCTTGGCATCCACGATCCCCATCTCCCTCCCTGGATGCTCCTTCTGGCCCAGGCTCTGCCCCTCATTCCCTCCTGGAGACTCTCTCCCCGTCCCCCAGGAAACCTCACTCAAGTTCCCTAACTTGAACTTCTGCTTTTCATGGACAATTCCCTAAAACAAGGGTCAGCAAAGTCTTTCTGTGAAAGGCCAGAGGGTGACTGTTTCCAGCTCTGTGGGTCATATGGTCCTGTCACAACAACCTGGCACTGAGCTTGGAGTGCAAAGGCAGTCATAGACCATAGGCAAATGAATCTCCTTGACTGTGTCCCAATAAAACTTTATTTATAAAAGTGAATGGGAAGCTGACTTCCCTGTTGGTCCTAGTTTGCCAATTTCTACCCATCCCATAGCTCCAGAAGCACATGTTCCATTGTTGGACATCTCTGCCCTAACCCTTTGGTGAGGCTCAGAGAGAACAAGCAATTGATCGATGCCACCCAGCAAGGCAGGGCAGAGCAGGACAGGAGTCCAAGTCTTATCACTCTGTTGCCTGGGAACCCATCACCATTGATCTCCACCACTACTCTCTACCCATCCCTTTGTCTCTATTTTAAATCACTTATTAATAACTTTTTTTAAGAAACAGAGTCTCCCTCTATCAACCCAGGCTGGAAGTGCAGTGACATGATTATAGCTCACTGCAGCCTTGACTTCCTCAGGCAATCCTCCCACTTCAGCCTTCTGAGTAGCTGGCACTAAAGGTGCATGCCACCATGCCTGGCTAATTAAAAAAAAAAAAAAAAAAAAAGAGACAGGGTCTTACTATGTTTCCCAAGCTTGTCTTGAACTCCTGGCCTCAAGCAGTCCTCCTGCCTCAGCCTCCCAAAGTGGTGGAATGACAGGCGTGAGCCATCGCACCTGGCCAATTTCCCTTTCCTTCTGTCCTCACCCCCTGTAATCTAATCTCAACACAGCAGCCAGAGGAGTTCTGGTCAAATGTAGATCAGATCATGTCTTTCCTCTGTTCTGAACCCTGCAGGGTCACATCATGTCCCTCAGAGTAAAAGCCCGAGTCCTGACAGTCCTGGCAAGGCCCCCTGTGACCTGGTTCTGTTCTCTTTCTGCCCCTCTCCCAAACTGTCCCCTTTCCTGCTCCACTGCAGCCACATGGGTCTCTCCAATGACCCCTGAAGCCCCACAGCATGCTCCCACCCCAGGGTCTTTGCACCTGTATTCCCTCTCCTGGGAAGCACTCCCCCAGGTGTCCTCCACATGGCCCAGTGTGCCCTACACCCACACCTGCTGTGTGTATCATCACCACCCAGTGTACTATGTATTTCACTTGTTGGTTTACAGATTGTCTGTCTCCCACCCTCACCCTCATTAGAATGAAAGATTCACCCAGGAGAGCAGTGACTGTGTTCATTGCTGTTTCTCAGAGCCTAGACCACTCCTGGGTCTGTAGAAACCATGCAGTAATTGTGAGTGGAATGAATGAATGAATGAAAGTAAGAATGAATGAATGAAAATAAAGTCTAGATGGAAGGAATAAGTTCTGCCATTCAATGGTACAGTAGAGAAATATGGTTAACAGTTATTTATTGCATATTTCAAAATAGAAGAGAAGAATTGTCATGGTCACAACACAAAGAAAAGATCAATGTTCGACTGGGTGCAGTGGCTCACACTGGTAATCCCAGCAATTTGGGAGGCTGAGGCAGGAGGATTGCTTGAGCCCAAGAGTTCGAGACCAGCCTGGGCAACATAGTGAAACCTCATCTCTACAAAAAAAATTTTAAAATTAGCCAGACATAGTGGCGTGTACCTGTAATCTCAGCTACTCAGGAGGCTGAGGTGGAAGGATTGCCTGAGCCCAGGAGGTCAAGGCTGCTGTAAGCCGTGATTGTGCCACTGCACTCCAGCCTGGGTGACAGAGTGAGACCTCAATTCAAAAAAAAAAGGGAGATAAATGTTCAAGGTAAAGAATGTCCCAGTTACTCTGATGGGATCATTGCATAATGTATACAAGTATCCAAATATCACATGTGCTCCCAAATTATGTCCAACTATGATATATCAATAAAAAAAGAAAACAAACACAATTAAAATTAAGGACTCTGTTGCCCCCATTGGGTCAGGCAACAGAGGGGCGACCAGTGTCCTCAGTGAAGGTGGTCTCCCTACAGAGATGGGAGCAGACGAAGTACTTGAATGGGCAAAAGTGAGTGGGAGGAGAGAATGGGTTGGGGAATGTAGACACCTTCTCCAGGAAGCCTGACTGGAGAGGGGAGAAGCAAATTGGGTCTGGCTGGGGGGAACATTGGCTGGAGGGTGTGGTCTGCCACTGGGAGTGGGCTCGGGGGACAGGCACAGGGACTCACCTCCAGGCGTCCCAGCTTCCCAACAGATGCAGACTCAGGCCGCTGTCCCCTCTGCGGCCACAGGGCATGAGCCTCTCCGGGGGCCAGAAGCAGCGGCTGAGCCTGGCACGCGCCGTGTACCGCAAGGCCTCTGTGTACCTGCTGGATGACCCACTGGCGGCCCTTGATGCCCATGTCAGCCAGCACATCTTCAACCAGGTCATCGGACCCAGAGGGCTGCTGCGAGGCACAGTAAGTTTGGGGACATGTGTCAGAGGTCACGGCACAGGCAGGGGAAGCCCATAGTGTCCGGGCCTTGCTCAAGTGTACCTACCACCCCGCTTCTTGAATCCAGCTTTCTTATCTGTATGAGTCAGCTTTTTTTTTTTAAGTTGGGGTCTCACTCTGTTCTCCAGGCTGGAGGGTAGTGGCACGATCACAGCTCACCACAGCCTCGGCCTCCTTCCACCTCAGCCTTCCAAGTAGCTGGGACTACAGGTGTGCACCACCATGCCTGTCTAGTTCTTTTATTTTTATTTTTTTGTAGAGATGAGATCTTGCTACATTGCCCAGGCTGATTTCAAATTGTCGAGCTCAAGCAATCATATTGCCTTGGCCTCCCAAAGTGCTGGGATTACAGACGTGAGCCATGGTGCCTGGCCAGTATTGGTCAGCTTTTGCTGAGACAGTGCTACATAACAAACAGTCCCCAGGTCTCAGTGGCTCATAGCGGCAGCTATTCCCTATGTGTGTATGGTTGAACAACAACAGTGCCGCCTTGGGCTCCTGGCCAGGTTCAGATGAACACCTCATCTTCTTGTTTTGAGACACAAGAAGGCTGAAGGATTACCCCCTGCTTCTCTGTTTGGATATGCTGTTTTCTTTTTTCTTTTTCTTTTCTTTCTTTTTTTTTTTTGAGTTAGGGTCTCATCCTCTGGCCCAGGCTAGAGTGCAGTGGCACACTGCTCACGGCCACCACAGCCTCAACCTCCTGGGCTCAGGTGATCCTTCTGCCTCCAAGTAGTTGGAACTATAGGTGTGTGCCACCATGCCCAGCTAATTTTTTGATTTATTGTAGAGACAAGGTCTCACCAAGTTGCCTAGGCTGGTCTCAAACCCCTGGACTCAGACATTCCTCTTACTGCCGCCTCACAAAGTGTTGGGATTACAGGCATGACCCCTGCACCCAGCAGACATGCTGTTTTCAAGAGAGAGGGCAGGAGCACAAGATGGCCTGCTCTCCCCACTCTGAGCCCAGGGACGCTGCCCCGGTCCCAGCTCTGGGAGATCGGCCATGCACACGTGTGTAACTTCCACCTCTTTCCTGCCCAGACACGGATTCTCGTGACCCACACGCTCCACGTCCTGCCACAGGCTGACTGGATTGTGGTGCTGGCAGATGGGGCCATTGCAGAGATGGGTTCCTACCAGGAGCTTCTGAACAGGAAGGGGGCCCTGGTGGGCCTTCTGGACCGAGCCAGACAGCCAGGAGACAGGGGAGAGGCAGGTACTGACTTTACTGACTCTCTGAGCCTGGCTCCTGCTACCCTTGGAGAGAAGCCTCCAAGGGTCCCCTGGTTTGAGTGGAGTGTTCTGGGGACACCCTCCCTGCGGGCCCAGGTCTATCTGCAACCAGTGCTCCCAAGAGCTACCTTTCCCCAAGAAGAGCCAAGGATACCACCTGTGAGCCAGGGACTGTGCTGAGAGCTCCTATAAACATTCATTATTGTATCTGATTCTCACAATACCCTGAGAAGCATGTGTAGTTATTGCTGCCATTTTACAGATAAGCACACTGAGACAAAGAGTTAAATCACGTGCCCAAGATCACAAGATTAGGACTTGGGTGTGTTCAACTCCAGTCTACGCTCGTAGCTGCTGCAGAAACTGAACAAGAAGGAGGTCTGTGGTGTCTTGAAGGCCACAACATGCTAGCTAGGGCTTCTAGTAACCCAGAGAATACAAAGCCTGCTGGATACATGACGGGGTTCTGGAGGTCAAGTCTCCAGTCCAAGCTCACCCCCAGTGAATGACAGAAACAGCTGATGGTATGTCACATACATTAGCTCGTTCGATCGGCACAAGGCCCCTGTGAGGTTGGTGCTAGAGTTGCCTCCATTTCACAGATGAGGAAACCGAGGCCCCAAAGGTAAGGAATGGGTCCAAGGTTACTTGGCTCAGCAGTAGCACTGCTCGGATGTGACCCCAGGCAAGCTGCCTCCAGGGAATGTGTTTTAATCATGCCCCTCCATGATAAAGCAAGGATTCACACCCAGATCTCCCTCAATCCTGCCTCTTCTGAGAACATCTGCTCAGCCCTGGCCCACCCTGGTAAAAACCCTACCTGTTGATTCACAGTGTCCCATCCTGGAGTTTGAAAACAGAACATGCCTGTTTGTGTTAGTCAGCTTTTGCTGCGATGATGCTATATAACAAACATCCCCCAAATCTCAGCAACTTACAAGAGCAGTTTTTTCTTGCTCAGAGGTCTCTTGTTAAACTACTACAACTCTGTCTCCAGTTACTGGCCCAGTCTAGGGGACAATGGGAGAAAGGTGTCCTTCTTGCGGAGATAGCACCTGAGAGTGGGTGGGAGCTAGCCCAAAAAGAGCATTCCAGGCACAAAGAACTGCTTGAGCAAGAGTATCAGGGAAAATGGAGGCAACTTGACCTTATACAGCGGTTCACTGACCTTTTGGCAATCCCAAGTTCATGGCAGTTGCTCAATTATATTTGCTGATTGAATTCATGAATGAATGAATGATGTTCCTGGAAGAACCCAGGGAGGGTTGAGAGAAGTTGCTGGAAAGGTGGCAGGAGCTGACTCCAGGAGGCAGGTGCTCAGAGAGGCGAAAGCCACATAGCCTCAGGGTGGGTGTCAGAGCCAGTGTCTGGGCCCTGGGTGGGACTCCACTGTATGACAGAATTCCCTTGACCTTGCAGATACAGAACCTGGGACCAGCGCTGAGGGTCTCAGTGGCTCCTTGGCAGGCAAGAGGCCTGAGCCCAGACCAGAGAGGTGAGTCCACTGTGGTGCCACCACATTTGGGAGGGCACAGGTTGTGGCTGGGGCAGGGCCTGCTGGGCCCACCTGCATCTCAGCTGGGTAGGGAGTGGCCAGGCTGTGATGAACAGGGCCCCCAGGTGTGCAGTAGAGGGACAATTCACTGAAAGCGACTTGCCAGCCAACTGGCTGAGATGATGAAGTCCCCAGTGGCTAGCCATGGGATGAGCCCTCACGTGGGCAAGGACACTTTGTTGGAGTCATCTCACTGCCAGAGCAGGGCAGGGCTAGTTCCAAAGACAGACACTCCTGCAGTCATTAATGCCTGTGCCAGGCCCCAGGGTTCATTCTCTAACAGGCAGGCAATGCACAGAGCTCGAGTCTATACCAGTGGCATCCCGTGGTGCTGGCAGAACACAGGCAAGGAGGCTGAGGGGAGGTTCTGCCCTCTTCCCTCGGCCCACTCCAGCCAGGGCACAGCTGGACTCACTGCGGGGCGGCCTGCCACAGAGGGACCAGCCACCTGATGCCATCCCTTCTTATGGCGAGAGGCCTTGGGGAACAGAGCAGGTCTCTGGTGCCAGGCAGTCTGAGCTTAAGTGCCTGGTGTGGGTAGGGGGATGGCAGGAGGACCCCGAGGGGCCTCAACCCCTGAGGATCATTGGGGCTGGTCACAACTCCTTCCTCCCCATCTCAGTTGGCCACCCTAAGAGCACTTCTGAGTCACATGCCAGACAGCCCCACTGTCATCACAGTGTATGAGATTCCTCAGTAGATGGGCCAGTAGGTTGATGGTATTAAAACCTTAGGCCAGGCGGGCTCGATGGCTCAGCCTGTAATCCCAGCATTTTGGGAGGCCGAGGTGAGTGGATTGCCTGAGCCCGTGGTTTTGAGATCAGCCTGGACAACTTGGCGAGACCTTGTCTCTACAATAAAATTAAAAATAGCCGAGCGTGGTAGTATGCATCTGTAGTTCCAGCTACTCGGAAGGCTGAGGTGGAAGGATTGCCGGAGCCCAGCAGGTCGATGCCGGGGTGGCTATGAGCGTGCATGCCACAGTACTCCAGCCTGGGCAAAGGAGTGAGACTCCAACCATAGAACAAAAGAAAGAAAGAAGGAAGGAAGGAAGGAAGGCAGGCAGGCAGGCAGGAAGGAAGGAAGGAAGGAAGGAAGGAAGGAAAGAAAAAGAAAGAAAGAAAGAAAGAAAGAAAGAAAGAAAGAAAGAAAAAGAAAGAAAGAAAGAAAGAAAAAGAAAGAAACCTTAGGCCAGCTGCAGTAGCTCACACCTATAATCCGAGCACTTTGGGAGGCTGAGGATCAAGAGGATCGCTGTTACTGAACATGGGTTGAACAGTTGGCTGCCTGTGATTGGCCAAAACTCGGTGATTGGCACAATCACAGTCTGTCTACACATCTAGTTAGGCCATAGTTCACTGTGTACGGAGAAACCTATAGGCCAAACTTAAAATATGTGAGGAGGCGACTTTAGGAAAAACTTGACTTAACGGTAGGTAGGTAGATATGTCCATGTGTGTATGTGTGCCTGTGTGTGTATACCTATGTGGATGGATGGGTGGGTGGGTGGATAGATATTATCCTCATTTTTACAGCTAAGGAAACCGAGGTACAGAAGATTAAGCCAGCCCACTTATCCACAGGCATCTGAATTGTGCGTAATTGATATTTTGCCAGGCTGGGCTGACAAATCTGAGGGTAAACAGTAAGGGAAAAACAATTGCCGCAAGGTTTAAGCTAAAATGAAAAGTCTAAGAACAGAGTTCCAAAGTTGGGCAAGTAAGTTCATTCTGTAGAATGGCATCAGAACAGGCTTGCTTGGCTCAGGGATCATAGACGGTGTTTAGCAGGGCACCACACAGGGGGAGAGGAAGCATGGCACACAGGCCATGATCAGTCTGTTAGTTGAATGTATGAATGAATGAATGAGTGGGGGGTGCCAGTGTATCCCAGAGCTCAGTGACTATCAGTGTACCTGGGGGTTGGGCACACACCCACCCCACCATGGGGAGAGACACTGATTTGTCCTCAATTCCTCTGCATGACAGGTCCATCATGTCCGTCCCTGAGAAGGACAGCGGCACCTCAGGAGCCCAGACAGGAGTCCCTCTGGATGACCCTGAGGGGGCAGGATGGCCAACAGGAAAGGAGAGCGTGCAGCATGGCAGGGTAACCCCCAGCTTCCTTGCTCTCCCCACTTGGGACTGCTGTCCCCAAGAGCCCAAGTCCTCCCCCCAGGGAGAGCGCTGGGGAGGAGGACACTCACCTTACTGAGCACCCACTGTGTGCCTGGTAAAATTCTAGACCTCCATGTTTCTTAATCCTCACAACCATTGGGGGGGGGGGAATAGCGATAGCTTCATTTTGGAGATAAAGAAACTGAGGTCTGAAAGAGTTAGAAGATTTGTCTGTGATCTCATTGCTAGTAAATAACCCACCTGGGTCTCAAAGCTAGGTCAGTATAAGTCAGAAGCTTGGGCTATTTCTCCTCTTCTATACTGCTGTGTCCATCCATTCATCATCCACTCAGTCACCGGTCCACCCACTCATCCATCTCACTAAACCATCATCCCTTCATCCACCCCACACACCCATCCATCCACCCCTCCATTCCATCCACTTGCCCACCCATCCATCCGTCCCACCCAACCATCCGTCCATCCCACCATCCACTCAGATGCCCATCACCCACTAATTCATCTGTCCTGCCCATCCATCACCCATTCATCCATCCCACCCAATCATCCATCCCTCCATTCCATCCACTTACACACCCATCCATCCATCCTTCTCAACCATCCATCTATCCATCCACCATCCACTCAGATGCCCACCTATCAACTCATTCATCCATCCACTTATCCACCCATCTCACCTATCCACCCACCCATCCATCCATCCCATCTAACTATACAGCCAACTATCCATTCACCTATCCATCAGTCTGTCTACCTGTTCATTCATTCATCTGTTCATTCACCTACTTACCCACTTATTTTCCACCTATCCATCCATTCACTCATCCATCTCCCCACCTACGTACTTACACACTCATTTGTCCATCCATCCACCCACCTGCCCATTCATCCCTCTATCCACTCATCCACCCAGCAGACATTTACATAGGACCTACTGTGTGCCGGGCAAAGTCTCTGCCCCAGTAGAGATTGCATGCTAGTGAGGATAGACACACAGCAAATGATTAGGCTAATAAGCTAGCTTATATCCGATCATGATCAGTGCTATAAAGAAAATAAAGAGGGCTGATGAAATGGATACCAGCTGAGGGTCACAGTTGGCTTGAACAGGTTGCCCTGAAGAATGGGAAGGGGCCAACCATGGATGGAGCAGGAGAAAGTGTTCTGGGCAGAGGGAACAGCAGGTGCAAAGGCTCTGAGGTGGGAAAGAGTTTAGAGGGGCCAGAGAAAAGGACCCATGATGCTGAAAGATGGTGAGTGGAGGTGAGGCAAGGAGGCTGGACTTTCTTCGAAGAGCAAGAGAAAGCCATAGGCAGGCCAGCAACAGCAAGATACAAGACTACAGCTGTGTAAAGAACTTCAGATTTGTGGGGGCAGGATCTTAAGTAAGTGATTGAACCTCTCTGTGCCTCAGTTTCCTTATCTGTGAAAGGCAGGTTATTGTGAGCATGGACAATTGCCTGGCTCATAGTATGTGCTCAGTAAAACACTCTCAAGCTAGAAAGCACCATAGCCTGTCCCTGGCCCGTTGGGGATTCTGTGGCAGAGGGGACTCCTGAGCTGGGAAGGGCCTGTGGGGGTAGATGGTGCCCCTAGTGGAAGGCACTGAGTAGTACCTATGAGGTCTGGAGGGCAGCTCCCTCTTCCCAGTTGACATGTTTCTGGGAGGCTCGCCTGGCCTTGCCCCAGCTCACGCCTCTTGCCGGAGCCTCTCTCTACCTCCCTCTCCCATGTGTGCTACAGGTGAAAGCCACCATGCACCTGGCTTACCTGCAGGCCGTGGGCACCCCCCTCTGCCTCTACACACTCTTCCTCTTCCTCTGCCAGCAAGTGGCCTCCTTCTGCCGCGGCTACTGGCTGAGCCTGTGGGCAGACGACCCCACAGTGGCCGGGCGGCAGACGCAGGCAGCCCTACGGGGCTGGGTCTTCGGGCTCCTGGGCTGTCTCCAAGGTATGCCTCATCAGCCTTCCCCATCCCCCGCCCAGCTCCACTGAGGGGCCTCAGGGCTCCATGGCCTGCCCAATCCTGGCTCACCCTGTCCCCCGCCAACCCCTCCCCCCCACCTGAACATCTGTGCAAAATGTCCTGGGCCCAGGTGCAGACCTGTGTTGTTCATATGCAGGGCATGGGGGAGCAGGGCACATCCCTCCTTTTCTGGAACCTTCAGAATCTCTCCCAGTGCCTCCCCCCCTTCCACCCCCCACCACCACCCACCAGGCAGCAGAGGGCAGCTCCAAGGACTGCCATCTGGGACTTTGCCTGAACTCCAGACCTCCAGATGGAGCCAGGCCCCTCCCTAACAGATGTATCACCACTGTCACACCTTCTTCTTTTTCAGTTGAAATAACTGTAGCTTTGTATGGGTGGTTTTTTTGGCTTTTGTGTTTGTCTTTTTTTTTAAGTTGGAATCTCACTCCATCGCCCAGTCTGGTACGCAATAGCATGTTCACGGCCACCCCAGTGTTGACCCACTGGCCTCAGCCTTCCAAGTAGCTGGAACTACGGGTGCATACTACCCTGCTCTACTGATTTATTTATTTATTTATTGTAGAAATGAGGTCTTGCCAAGTTGCCCAGGCTGGTCTCGAACCTGTGGGCTCAGGCACTCCTCTCACCTTGGCCTCCCAAAGTGCTGCGATTATAGGCTTGAGCCACTGCTCCCGACTTTTTTTTTTTTAAAGAGAGGCTCATTTTGTCACACAGGCTGTAGTGCAGTGACACAATCATGGCTCACCATAGTCTCAAGCTTCTGGGCTCAGGCAATCTTTCCACCTCAGCCTCCTGAGTAGCTGGGATGACAAGCACACACCACCACACATGGCTAATTTTTTGACTTTTTGTAGAGATGAGGTCTCATTATGTTGCCCAGGCTGGTCTCAGATTTCTGGGCTTAGGCAATTCTCCTGCCCCAGCCTCTCAAAGTGCTGGGATTACAAGCGTAAACCACCATGCCCAGATTCTTCTTGTAAGAACACCAGTCATTAAACTAAGACCCAGCCTCAATCCAGCATGACTTCATCTCAAGACCTTTAACTAGTACATCTGCAAACACCCTATTTCCAAAGAAGGACACTTCCTGAGACTCCGAAGGAATGCCATTCAGCCCACTATGGGGTGGCAGATCTGTCAAGAGACTGTCAGTGGCCAGCTATGAGTCGGCCACCATGAGGGTAGTGGGGAGACCTGCCCAGGCCCCACGGGGAGGCTCCTGGGGGTCTCCAGCCTCCATGCTCTGATCTTTCCTCCCCTCCAGCCATCGGGCTGTTTGTGTCCATGGCCGCAGTACTCCTAGGTGGGGTCCGGGCATCCAGGCTGCTCTTCCAGAGGCTACTGTGGGACGTGGTGAGATCTCCCATCAGCTTCTTTGAGCGGACACCCATCGGGAACCTACTGAACCGCTTCTCCAAGGAGACAGACACGGTGGATGTGGACATCCCAGACAAACTCCGGTCCTTGCTGACTTACACCTTTGGACTCCTGGAGGTCATCCTGGTGGTGGCGGTGGCCACCCCACTAGCCATTGTGGCCATCCTGCCACTGTTGCTCATCTATTCCGGGTTTCAGGTATGGAGAGGTCAGGGCAGCTCTTGGGGTCAGCTGAGGTCACCTCAGCCAGTCCCCTGGCTCTGGGCAAGACTCAGTGCCCCTAGAAAAATCCCCAGGATCAGAGACACTGCAGTCTGTTTCTAATATCTCTAGTCTCTGTCTCTAAATGTTCATATCAAAGTTCTTAATATCTAACATTTTATCCTGCTGCAGCTTCTACAATTTTCTAGAATCTGAGTGGCATTGCAAAGCCTCAAAGAAAAAAAAAGTATGAAGCTAAAATTGTTTCAGTTGCCAGGACCAGAGACCAACTTAAATGAGCTGAAACAAAATAACAGAATTGAATGGCTACATTTCTAGGGGGCAGTAGGCCCAGCTGTCACCAAGACTTGCTCTCTCCTTATCTTCATTCACTGCTTCTCAAAGCATGACCCCAGGACCAGCAGCAGTGTCACCCGGGGCCCAGTTAGAGATGCAAATTCTTGGGCCCCAGTCCAGACCTACTGACTCGGACACTGTGAGACTGTGGCCCAGCCATCTGAGCTTTGACAAACCCTCCAGGTCATTCTGATGCTCCCTCATGTTTGAGAACTACTGCCTCAGATCTGCTTGGCCTACATTTGCACCTGTTTTCTGTCCAGGGGGCAGGTCTGGTGGCCACCAGCAGCCCTAGCTCACATCAGCCCACCTTCGCAACCCAACACACAAAAAACTTTTCTCCTGCTCAGTATTCATATATTAATCTCAGAGAAGGTCCTGGTTGGCGCTTGGGGGGTCATGTGCTCATCCCTGAACCAATCACAGTGAAGTGGATAGTAGACTCTGATGGGCTAGGCTGGGTCATGTGACTACTTTTTTGATCAGGTCCCTGATTGACAGTCTCTCTTTCCACCCACCCCCCCATGGGAAATCAGAACTACAATAGGAGAAAACATGGCAGTCATACAAAAATTACACTGTCCCCCACAACTGTCCACGATCTTTTCTAAGTCCACTTGACTCTGGGGATGGACTGCTTCTCTGTTGCAAGCTTTGGAGTCAGGCTCTGCTTATTGTGGAGCTCCGACCAACTGCTGAGTTCCCCTAGACTTATGTGTCCTCACCTGTAAAAGATGAACAGTACTAGTGCCCACCCTATTGCCCACCCTGCAATAAGTGAGGTGCCATGTGTCAAGAGTGTGACTGGCCAGCAAATGCAGTTCCTCCCGGCCTGCCTGCCAGCTCAAAGCAAATGATAACATGTATTGTCTGTGCCTCTCCTGGTACCTGGCATGTGACCCCTGGGTTAAATGAATGAGTCTAACTTGGCCAACTGCGTCCACTGACCTTTATGGTTCTGTTCCCACAAAGGTCATTCAGGGCTGAATGACCAGCCCTGAATGAAGCAATTGACTTCAGTGCTGAGAAGTGAGACATTTAAATGAAATTAGTGATTTCTCAACCCTACCTGTGCATTAGAATCGTCTAGAAGGCTTTTGTTTTATTATTATTTTTTGAAGTCTTCTAGTTTAATTTTTTATAATTATTTTTTAATACATGATAAGTTCTATGAAGGCTTTAAAAAAAATACCAAAGTCAAGGCAGTATCACCGGAAGTCCCGATTCAGTCATTCTTGGGTGGTGTATTGGAGGTTTTTGATGCTCCCAGGGGATTTTCAAAAGAACTATGAAAATGGGAACCCAAAGAAGGCAAGTGACTGGCCCAAGGTCACACCATAAGCTGGTAACAGTCTGGCCTGGCTCCCTGTGCTTCTTGAAACTATGTCTGTGTCTGTGGTTTCTCCCTTCCTCTCTCCCACCTGTCCTGCCTCAGAGCCTGTATGTGGCCACCTCGTGCCAACTGAGACGCCTGGAGTCAGCCAGCTACTCGGCTGTGTGCTCCCACATGGCTGAGACCTTCCAGGGCAGCACAGTAGTCAGGGCGTTCCGAGCCCAGGGCCCCTTTGTGACTCAGAGCGATGCCCGCGTGGATGAAAGCCAGAGGGTCAGTTTCCTGCGACTGGTGGTGGACAGGTAGGAAGAGCCTGGGTGTCATCAGGATGGGTGCAGTGGCTCATGCCTGTAATTCCAGCACTTTGGGAGGCTGAGGTGGGAGCATCACTTGAGTTCGGAGTTCGAGACCAGCTAAGCAACATAACCAAACCCTATCTATATTTTAAAAAATAAATATTAAAAAAAGGAAAATCTTGACTGCCAGGCATGGTGGCTCACACCTGTAATCCTAGCACTTTGAGAGGCTGAGGTGAGAGGATTGCTTTAGCCCAGGATTGAGACCAGCCTAGACAACATAGCAGGACCTCGTCTCTACAAAAAAATAAAAAATTAACTGAATGTGGGGCTACACACCTGTAGTCCCAGCTACTCAGGAGATTGAGGCAAAAGGATCACCTAAGCCCAGGAGGTTGAGGCTGCAATGAGTTGTGATCATGTCACTGCTCTCTAGCATGAAACTAGCATGGGTGACAGAGAAAGAGACCCTGACTCAAAAAATAAATAGATTAAAAAAAAAAAGTTGAAAAGAACACCTTGCAGCAGGTGTCTCCAGAAGGTGAGACCTGAAGTCATACTCTGTGGCTAGAGAGGTCAAGTGGCTTCCCCAAGGTCACACAGTGGGCCGGGGACACAGCTGAGTCAAGATCACATAGGCAGGCCAGGTGCGGTGGCTCAAGCCTGTAATCCCAGCCCTTTGGGAGGCTGAGGTGAGAAGATTGCCTGAGCCTGTGGGTTCAAGACCAGCCTGGGCAACATGGTGAGACCTCTTCCCTACAATAAATCAAAAAATTAGCTGGGCGTGGTAACACATACCTGTAGTTCCAGTTACTTGGAAGGCTGAGGTAAAAGGATCACTGAAGCCCAGCAGGTCAACGCTGGGATGGCTGTGAGCATGCCACTGCACTCGAGCCTGAGCAATGGAGTGAGACTCCAACTCAAAAAAAAAAAAAAAGATCACATAAGCAGTCTCTCGGCTCTCACTGGGCAGATGGAACCCACCGGTTAGGTCCTCAACAGCAGGTGAGCAGGAAGAAGCTCTGTTGCCAGGCAACTAGACCAGCCTCCATTACCTTGGTTACAAAGTGGCTATAGAAGCACCCTCAGCCTTCTTTCCATACAAAGAACACAAGCTTTGAGCTCAAATAGACAGAGGTTCAAATCCCAGATCTGCCACTTACTAGCTGGCAGGTCTTAGCAAGTTACACAACCTCTCTGAGCCTCGTTGTCAAACTGGAGTCACACTCATGGGGGATTACATACATACTTTCATAGGTAAGATGTGTAACATGCTTATTACATGCCCAGGACTGTTCTGAGCAATCTATGTGGGTTAATTTATTTAACCCTGTGAACAACCTCACAAGGCAGAGACTGTGTTATAGACAATGACTTGTAGTCACAGAGAGGTTTGGGAGCTTGCCCAAGGTCACACAGAGAAAGTATACTGGAGCCAGGATTTGAATCAAGGCAGCCTGGCACCAGAGTGTAGAGAGGGCCAAGCATACAGCTGGTACTCCATACATGCGGATTCCTTTTTTCTTTTCTGCCCAGGTCCCCAGGGCTCTCAGTCCCTGTCACTGTGGGCAATATCTCAATTCCACATGCCCTCTGGGAGACCCGGCATCCCCCTTCCTGGGGTCCTGGGCCGGGGAGGAGAGACCTGAAGAACACTTAGAAAGCATCTACTATGGGCAAAGCATAATGATTTCCACGCTGTCCATGGTATAGCTCATTTAAGCCCCTCAACTGGAATCAGCCAGATATAACTTAATTATATAGACATTACTTCTTTATACAGATGGGTAACCTGAGGTCTAAAGGAGCAAAGCAACTCTTTGGAAGGGACAGTTTAGATAGCCAGTCAGTGGTGATCTTAGGCAGGTCTTCCTTTATGTATTGTCCGTTAGTTAGTTCATTGAGAAACACAGCCTGTTGGAAAGCCTGCATAAGGTTTGGTAGTTTGTGGCACGTGTGAGCTTAAATAAGCAACCAATGCTCTAAGCCTCCATCTCCTCATCTGTCAAATGGGAACAATATTCTGCTCTCCCTGTGTCAGGAGGATTGTTCGTGATATACCCTGGGGGCCGATGACTTTGTTTGGTTCACAGATGTGTCCCCACCAGTTCAAACACGCATGGCACACAGTGAGTGCTCAATATATATCTGTTGAATGAATGATGGAGTAAGAGGGATAAATATGTATTAATTTCTTTAATATACACTTGAATATTCAATATATTTGCCTATTCTTTTTTTCTTTTTTGGGTCGGAGTCTCACTCTGTCCCCCAGGCTGGAGTGCAATGGCATGCTCACAGCCACCGCAGCGTCAACCTGCTGGGCTTAGGCAGTCCTTCCACCTCAGCCTTCCAAGTCACTGGAACCACCGGCGAGTGTCACCACACCCAGCTAATTTTTGGTTTATTGTAGAGACGAGGTCTCATCAAGTTGCCTAGGGTGATTTCGAACCCCTGGGCTCAGGCAGTCCTCTCGCCTCCACCTTCCGAAGTGCTGGGATTACAGGTGTAAACCACTGTGCCTGGATATATTTGCATATTTTTACGTTCAACAAGAAGGGTACAGTACATAAAGTATTCATTCAATAGGTACACGTCAAGCACCTACTATGTGCTGGGTTCTATAGTAGATACTGGGAATCAAGCCATGAACAGAACAGACAGGGTGGCTGTTCCCCTCATGGGGATCACGGCCCATGGGGATCACGGCCTACTGATGATGACTGGCAGACGTGTCTGGTGAAGAAATTGATTTATGGAGAGAACTCCTGTGGAGGCCATCATCTGTGATGTTAGTAAAGGAGGCACAGTCAGGGAAGGCTGTCAGAGAGTGATGTTGGCATTCATTTGTGCATGCAGATGAGAGGCGGCTGGCCACAGGAAGACGGAGTTCGGGGTTCAGGCCGAGGGAACCGCAGGGGGATGTGGTGCAGCAAATCCCCGGAGAGTGTCTTCTATGTCTTGAGCTTGGGGGTGGGTCCCGGGGTATGGAGACCATTTCTGGGACCCCGTGGGTGCAGGGCTGGCATGACAGCTGGTCCCTCCCTGCACCTGGAGAAGCAGGTCTCAGCAGGTGATGGCACACACTGACCCCACTGTTACCTCCCTGCACAGGTGGCTTGCTGCCAACATGGAGCTCCTGGGGAATGGCCTGGTGTTCGTGGCTGCCACGTGTGCTGTGCTGAGCAAGGCCCACCTGAGCGCCGGCCTCGTGGGCTTCTCGGTCTCTGCCGCCCTCCAGGTACCTCTGACACCCCAGCCTGGGCTCCAGGGCGTGGACAGAACCAGACACAGACAGACCCGGCCAGTGGGACCACCAAAGACCCTGAGTCCAAACACCCCCGGGAGAGAAATACAGCCCCACTAGAATGGGATCGAAGTGACCTTGCTAGACCCGGGCAAGAATCTTCCCTCTTGGGGCCTCAGTGTGATCATCTGAAAAAAATAGCCCAGTAATCCCATCACTTCTGATGTGATAAAGAAGAGTTGAGATAAAGTCTATGAGAGAGCCCCCCCCCCAAAAAAAACCCTGGAATTATCTTTTGGAGGGTGAGCCCCTTATAGTACACTTGGAATTTGTTCTTCCAGATCAAGTGGTCAACCAAAGTTTTTTTTCTGTTGTTTTTTTATTTGTTTGTTTGTTTGTTTTGAGTCAGAGTCTTACTCTGTCACCCAGACTGGAGTGCAGTGGCACGCTCACGGCTACCCCAGCATTGACCTGCTGGGCTCAGGTGATCCTTCCACCTCAGCCTTCCAAGTAGCTGGAACCACAGGCGCACGCCACCATTCCCAGCTGATACTTTAATTTATTGTAGAGACGAGGTCTCACCATATTGCTCATACTGGTCTCGAACCCCTGAGCTCAGATAATCCTCTTGCCTCTGCCTCCCAAAGTGCTGGGATTATAGGCCTCCCAAAGTGCTGGGATTATAGTTCAACTTTTCTGGAAGTTTTGAGATGGTTGTGTTATGATTTGTGAAAGAAATGTCTGGAACTTTGGCAAACAGGTGACAGGTTCTTCCACCATGGTAAGGTACCTGCCCACACCATTTTTTGATCAAAAACGACATAAGCCCCATGCCCCGCCCTTCCTATTCACCCGACCTCATCCCAAGCAACTTTTTTTTGTTAGAAAAAGTCCTCAAAGGGAAACGTTTAGCTGGTGTGGAAGAGGTGAAACAAAAATGGCAGAAGTATCAGAATCGATGAGTTTAAAAACAGTTTGAGTGAAAAAAGCATCTTGGTAGGTGCTTTGCATCCAACGGAGAGGAATTTGAAGGTTACTGAAATTTAAAAATGTAAGAATAAATACACATTTTTAAATAAATAAACTCCAGGGTTTTTTAGGTCCTCCCTCATATACTACAGAGTGTGCTCCCAGTGCATTGTTAACTTTTTGTAAGTATTAATAGTATGTGGCCAGGCACAGTGGCTCATGCCTGTTATCCCAGCACTTTGGGAGGTCAAGGTTGGAGAATTGCCTGAGCCCTGGAGTTTGAGACCAACCTGGGCAACTTAGCAAGACTTCAACTCTATAAAAAATAAAAATAAAAAAGTTGCCGAGTGTGGTGACACATGCCTGTAGTCTCAGCTACTTGGGTGGCTGAGGGGGAAAGATTGCCTGAACCCAAGAAGTTGAGGCAGTGGTGAGCTGTGATTGTGCCCCTGCACTCCAGCCTGGGTGACAGAGTGAGACCCTGACTAATAATAAAGTACAAATGATATATAATGTCATGTCATGACATCTATGAAAAAATATATACAAGCCGGGCTCGGTGGCTCAGCCTGTAATCCTGCGCCTTTGGAAGGCTGAGGTGAGTGGTTTGCCTGAGCCCGCTGGTTTGAGACCCGCCTGGGCAACTTGGCGAGACCTCTTCTCTACAATAAATCAAAAATCAGCTGGGCGTGGTACTGCGTGCCTGTAATTCCGGCTGCTCGGAAGACTGAGGCGGAAGGATCGCTGGATCCCAGTGGGTCGAGGTCACGGTGGCCGGGAGCGGCGACTGGAGTGCAGATGGAGTGAAACTCCAACTCAAAATATATATATATATAAACACATATATATACAGCATTTGTTACAAATGAGGCATTGTTCAAAGAGTTAAAGATTAACTCATCCAGTCCTATCCACAACCGCATCAGGGTAGTGCTAGTATTATCTTTATTTTACACTTGAGACAACTAAACTTTAGAAGCAATAGGAGGATGCAGTGTGTTGGGAACAGGGTGTTTTGACTGTCACTGTGGCCTGGAGGAATTGAGGAAGCAACAGACAGAAAGGCCTGAGGGGTTGGGAATGGCAGAGGAACAGTAGTAGGAAGGCGGATGTAGCTGTAGGGGGTGGGCAGGGGCAAGAGAGGAAGGAAACATGTTTGGAGCACAGAGGGCAGGGCTGGAGCCTGTCCTCACTGAGAGGTCCTGGTGAGGAGGCTGGAGGGGTTCCAGGTGTGGTGGACCTGTGGAGGTCCTGCAGCTCTGGGGAAGCTGTCAGTGTGGAATCAGTTGGCCTGGGTGCTGCTGGGTATGTTTGGGAGGGTCACACACCCTGTCTGGTCCTGTCTCCCAGCCTGTGTCAAGACAGGTTGGCCAGGCTGATGTCTGAGGGCTCCTTTCTGCTTTGCATGCTCTGGTCCCACTGAAGGAAGGAAGGGGTCCTGTTGGCTGCAGCCTAATCCCGTCCCCCTGAGCCCAGGTTCTAGATTGCCCCATTTGTGTCCCCCTGGTCCGGTCCCCCAGCTTTGTCTCAGGGGGGCAGAAGCAAGCCCTTGAGTGGCTTCACCAAATCCAGTCTGAGCCGTCTTTCTGCACCAGGTGACCCAGACCCTGCAGTGGGCTGTTCGCAGCTGGACAGACCTGGAGGGCAGCATCGTGTCAGTGGAGCGGATGAAAGACTATGCTCGGACGCCCAAGGAGGTGATGGGTGGTTGGTGGGGCAGGGGGTGGTGCCCCAGCAGGACCTATGGGGAGGGCTGAGGCCCAGGCTGACATCTGCCACTGGCTTTGGAATCTACACCCTCTTGTCTTCCCACTCTGCCTCCACCACTGTAAGCCGGAGTCACGGCTAGGGCAGCAGCAATGATTAGGAGCATGGGGTCTGGAGTCGGGTCAAATCCTGTTTCCTTTGCTTCCTAGCTTGAGCAAGGCAGGTCACCCGTCAGAGTGACAGGGTACTGTGAGGAACAGCAAGGCAGCAGCAACATAGGTGCAACATGATAGTAACAGAACAGCATCATAATAGCTAACATAATAGCAACATAACAAGATTTATCAGCTGGTAACATTATAGTGACAGAACAGCAACACAGAAGCCATGTAACAGCAGCATAGCAACATGATAGTGACATAATAGCAACATCACAGCCACATAGTAGTAAAAAAACAGCAACATGATAACAACAGAACACAACAGAGCAACAATGTAACAGTCCAGCAACATATTCACATTGTGGTAATAGAATTGCATCAGAATAGCAACATTCTTGTAACATCATGGCAACATTCCAGTAACATTATAGTAACAAAATAACAACATGGCAGCAACATAACAGCTTTGAGTTTACTGAGAGGATTGAATGAGATCCTGTCATAAAGGACTTAGTTCAGTGTCTGGTCCATTGTAAACACTCAGTACATGTCCCCTGCTTTTATTAGCCCCATTTCACAGATTGGGAGTCCAAGGCTCAATGGGATGGAATGGCCTGAACAAGGTTACACGAATAGCAGACGCCAACAATGGCCTTCCTCCCACACAGTCCTGTCACTACAGGAACAAAAATGTTTGACAATGACAATGGCTGATAACAACAAAAGACATTAAAGGTAGCCAGCACCATCATTTTTATCATGCCAGATATTGTTTTTAGCATTGCCGTACTCCATGCTCCGTCTTGTTAATTCCCACAACAACCCTGTAAAAATAGCAAAAAATATGCCCATTTTGCAGAAGAGGAAACCGAGGCTCAGAGATATGGGCCATCTTGTGAGCAGGCTTGGGGGAAGGCTCCTCTGACCCATTGTCCCCTCCTGCTCCAGGCCCCCTGGAGGCTGCCCACCTGCGCAGCTCAGCCCCCCTGGCCTCACGGTGGGCAGATCGAGTTCCGAGGCTTTGGACTGAGATACCGGCCTGAGCTCCCGCTGGCTGTGCAGAACGTGTCCTTCAAGATCCACGCGGGAGAGAAGGTGGGCGGTTCTTGCACAGGTCCTATTCACCGAGCCTCCCCAGTGTCCCACCCTTGTTTTCAGACCCATGGTGCCCTAAACCAGACTCCTCATCTTCCTCATGCGTGCTTCCATCTGATGACCTCCCCATTCTTCTTGGCATTCCCAGATGAGGAGGTGACTCTCAGCTTCCTTCTCTCTCTCACCTGAGCTGAACACTGTGCTGGGCAGCATACTATATGCTCCACATACATTTTCCAGTCTGCATGGATGGGTTCCTGGCTTTGCCAAGGGTGACCTTGGGCCAGTCGCTTCATGTCTTGGCCCCAGTTTTCCCATCTGCAAAATGGGAATAATAATGTTGCCTTCGTAGAGTTGTCATTGTGTTTTAGTGTGTGTGTATATATATGTATGTGTGTGAATACACACACACACACACACACACACACACACACACACACACACACACGTAACAGAGGGGCCAAAAAATGTATACAACTTGAAGAGAGGAAAAAACTGTAATACTCAATATATACCAATAACAAAAGATGAATACAAGTCACATTTGACTCTGGCAATTACAAGAGGTGGTTACCATCAGCATCCAGACACTTCTGATCATGGTGAACTACTACTGCAGGACTTGCTCTGCGAAGCCTCCTGGATCTTCCCTTGTGCACATCACACACAGTCCCATGCGTCTCAAACTTACCACGAATGCGTGCAGTTGTTAGGTGTGTTGGAGGTTCTGTTGCATAGTCATGCCTGCATTGTCATTGTCCTCCCACAACATTCTTGAATTTCAAATATCACTTCAAAATGGTCTTGCGCTCCTTGAACAACGACTGTGCTTCCGCATTTTTCTTTGACTGTCCTGCCTGTCACATGGTGATGCTAGCATTCATTTGATTGATGTCACCTTTTGAACAAACGTCATGCTACACATTGCTACCGTAATTCAATTCAATTTCAAAAAGCAACGCATAGGTAAAATCTCTTAAAATGTGTATACGTTTTTGGCACCCCCAGTGCATGTGTGTGTGTGTGTGTGTGTGTGTGTGTGTGTGTGTAGAGAAAGAGAGAGAATAAAAGCATCATCAACATAATGCTTTTATTCGTTAATATATGCATGCTTACTCTCATGACAACCCCAAGAGGAAAGTGCTTGTATTACCTCATTTTATAGACACTTAGCCAGGCCTCTTCACCAAATCCCTATCCTCCCTCTACTCACAGACACTTCCTCCCTGCTGCCATCCCGATGCCCCCATCCCTCTCTTCCTGCTCTGGGCTCCCAAATGATCCTGTCTCACTCCCTCCAGTCTCTTCTCCATGATCTTTATCAGCATGAATGACATAGCATGTTATTCCCCTGCTCAAAACCTTCTACCACCTCTCAGTCTCCCTCAGAATAAAATCTGAATTCCTGAGCTTGGCATTCAAGTCCCTGCCCAACCCAGAACCTGCCTACTGTGGCCCCGCAATCAGTTGCTATGCTAGGACTTAGCCAACATTTAAGCTCCATGAGCTTTTAGTCTTATAAGCCCCCTCCCTGAAATTCTACTCATCCTTTGATATTCCACTCAAGCACTCCCTCCTCCATGAAGCCCTCCCTGATTACCTCTATCAAATCCCAGGCAGCAAGAGCAGAGCCTCCTTGCCTGCCTCAGTTGCTGCAGATCCAAGCTTGATAGTAGAGAGTACCTGTTCATCACAGCGTGTTAACTTTTACTTTACTCAGGTATCACTTACCAGGAACTACTTCCTACCAGGTGGTGAGCACCTTAGAGTAAGGACCCTTTCACTTCTGTATCCCTGGTGCTGAAACATGTGCTTGGCATGCAGTGGGATGACCCAAGTTTCACTCGTTTACTAAGAAAACGGTGTTGAGCCCCCACCATGTGTGAGAGACTGAGGAGATTACAGTCGTGAGAGAGATGAGGATGGAAGAAGGATGGATAAAAGGATGGGAGGAGAGGTGGAAGGACGAGGGAGGGATGGATCCGTTGGGGGATAAAGGGTGGAAGAAGAGGGTCCGGGATGGATGAGGGATGAATTGGAGATGGGAGATAAGTGGAAAGATGGCTGGCTAGGATGACCGGTGGATAGATTGGTAGGATGGGGATGGATGGATAAGAAGGAGGGTGGATGTAGAAGAGGGATGCTGGATGGGATGAGGGATGGAGGGTGGGATGGGGGATGGATGGTAGGATGGGGTGGATGGAATGATGTAGGATGAAGGGTAGTATGGGAGATGGGTGGTAGGATGGAAGACGAGTGGAAAGGTGGATTAAAGATGGGTAGATACGATGGGGAAGGGATGGTAGGATGGAGATGGATGGACACGATGGACGACGGATGGTAAGATGGAGATTGGATGGATAGGGTGGAGGATAGAGGGAGGATAGACTCGGGGATGGATGCAGGATGGGGGATGGAGGGATAGGAGGGGGGATGGAAGGTAGGATGGGATATAGATGGTAGGATGCGAGTGGATGTTAGGATGGGGGATGGACGTTAGGTTGGAGGCAGATGTTAGGACAGAGGTGGGTGGTAGGATGGGGAATGGATGGATATGAAGCAGGATGAATGGTAGTATGGGTGATGGATGGTAGGATGGGAAATGAGGGGAAAGATGGATTAAAGATGGGTAAATAGGATGGGGGATGGATGGTAAGACGGGGGGTGGATGGTAGGATGAGGAATGAAAGGATAGGATGAGGTATAGATGGATGGGTGGGGGATGGATGGTAGGATGAGGGATCTTGTAGGATGGGGAATGGATGTTGGGATAGGGATAGATGTTGGAATGGAAGATGGATGGTAGGATAGGAGACGGATGGATAGGATGGAGAATGGATGGATAGCATGGAGGTGAATGTTAGAATGGGGGATGGATGGTAGGATGGAGGATTGATGTGAGGGTGGGGATGGATGGTAGGATGGGGGATGGATAGTTGAATGAGGGACCTTGTAGGATGGGGGGTGGATGGTAGATTGAGTGATCTTGTAGGATGGGGGATGGATGGATAGGATGGAGGATGGATGTTAGGATGGGGGATGAATGATAGGATGGGGATGGATGGTAGGATGGGAAATTGATGTTAGGGTGGGGATGGATGATATGATGAAGATGGATGGAAGGATAGGGATGGATGTAGGATGGGGGATGGATGAATAGAATGAGGGATAAATGTTAGGATGAGGGTTGGATGGATAGGATGGGTGAATAATGTTAGGATGGGGGATGGAAGTTAGGATGGGCACGGATGGTAGCATGGGTGTGGTTGGATAGGATGTAGGATGGATGGTAGCATAGGGTATGGATGATAGGATGGGAGATGAGTGGAAAGATGGATTGAAGATGGGTAGGTAAGATGGGAAATGGATGGTAGGATGGGGAATGGATGGATAGGATGGAGGATGGATATTAGGATGGGGGATGGTTGTTAGGATGGGGATGGATGGTAGTATGGGGATGAATGGCAAGAAGGGAGATGGATGGACAGGATGAGGGAAGGATGTATAGGATGGGGGAAAGATGGTAGAAGGGGCAATGGATAGTAGGATGTGGTTTGGATAGATAGGATGAGGGATAAATGGAGAGGATGAGGGATAGATGGTAGGATTGGGGATGATGTAGGATGGGGGAATGGATGGATAGGATCAGGGATAGATGGTAGGATGAGGGATTGATAAATAGGGTGAGGGATGGATGGTAGGATGAGGGATGGATGTATAGGATGGAGGGTGGTGGGTAGGATGGGGGATGGATGGATAGGTTGGAGGATGGATAGTGGGATGGTGATGAATGGTAGGATGGGAATGGATGTATAGGATGGAGATTGAATGTATAGGATGGAGGATGGTGGGTAGGATGGGGAAAGGATGGATAGGTTGGAGGATGGATAGTGGGATGGTGATGAATGGTAGGATGAGAATGGATGGAAAGGATGGAGATTGGATGTTAGGATGGAGGTTGGATGGTAGGATGGGAGATGGATGAATAGGATGGGGAATGGATGGATAGCCTGAGGATGGATGCTAGGATGGGGGATTGTTGGTAGGAACGGAAATGGATGGTAGGATGGGGATGGATGTCAGGATGGGGATGGATGTTAAGATGGGGGATGGATGGTAGGATGGGGGATGGATGGATAGGATGGAGGGTGGATGTTAGGATGGAGGATGGATGTTAGGAATGGGATGTATCATAGGATGAGGGATGAATGGATAGGATGGAGGATGGATGGTAGCATGGGGGATGGATATAGGATGGGGATATATGGTAGGATGGTGGATGGATGGAGGCATGAGAGATGGGTGGTAGGATGGGAGATGAGTGGAAAGATGGATTAAAGATGTGTAGATAGGATGGGGGATGAATGGTACGATGGGAAGTAGATGGATAGGATGGAGGATGGGGCCGGGCTCAGTGGCTCAGCCTGTAATCCCAGTGCTTTGGGAGGCCGAGATGAGTGGATTGCCTGAGCCTGCGAGTTCGAGACCCGCCTGGGCAACTTGGCGAGCCCTCATCTCTACAATAAATCAAAAATTAGCCGGGCATGGTAGCACACACCTGTAGTTCCAGCTACCTGGAAGACTGAGGCGGAAGGATCGCTGGAGCCCAGCAGGTCAAGGCTGCAGTGGCCGGGAGCGGCCACTGAACTCCAGTCTGGGTGACAGAGTGAGACTCCAACTCAAAAAAAAAAGGATGGAGGATAGATGTTAGGATGGGAGATGGATGGTAACATGGGATGGATGGATAGGATGGGAGATGGATGGTAGGATGGGGGATGGATGGATAGAATGATGTATGAATGGATAGGATGGGAGATGGATGGTAGAATCAGGGATCTTGTAGGATGTGTGATGGATGGATAGGATGGTAGGATGAGTGATCTTGTAAGATGGAAGATGGATGGATAGGATGGAGGATGGATGTAGTATGGGGGATGGATGTAGAGAATGGGGGATAGATGGTAGGATGGGGATGGATGGTAGGATGGGGGATGGATGGATAGGATGGAGGGTGGATGTTAGGATGGAGGATGGATGTTAGGAATGGGATGTATCATAGGATGAGGGATGAATGGATAGGATGGAGGATGGATGGTAGCATGGGGGATGGATATAGGATGGGGATATATGGTAGGATGGTGGATGGATGGAGGCATGAGAGATGGGTGGTAGGATGGGAGATGAGTGGAAAGATGGATTAAAGATGTGTAGATAGGATGGGGGATGAATGGTACGATGGGAAGTAGATGGATAGGATGGAGGATGGGGCCGGGCTCAGTGGCTCAGCCTGTAATCCCAGTGCTTTGGGAGGCCGAGATGAGTGGATTGCCTGAGCCTGCGAGTTCGAGACCCGCCTGGGCAACTTGGCGAGCCCTCATCTCTACAATAAATCAAAAATTAGCCGGGCATGGTAGCACACACCTGTAGTTCCAGCTACCTGGAAGACTGAGGCGGAAGGATCGCTGGAGCCCAGCAGGTCAAGGCTGCAGTGGCCGGGAGCGGCCACTGAACTCCAGTCTGGGTGACAGAGTGAGACTCCAACTCAAAAAAAAAAGGATGGAGGATAGATGTTAGGATGGGAGATGGATGGTAACATGGGATGGATGGATAGGATGGGAGATGGATGGTAGGATGGGGGATGGATGGATAGAATGATGTATGAATGGATAGGATGGGAGATGGATGGTAGAATCAGGGATCTTGTAGGATGTGTGATGGATGGATAGGATGGTAGGATGAGTGATCTTGTAAGATGGAAGATGGATGGATAGGATGGAGGATGGATGTAGTATGGGGGATGGATGTAGAGAATGGGGGATAGATGGTAGGATGGGGATGGATGGTAGGATGGGGGATGGATGGATAGGATGAGGGATAGATGTAGGATTGGGGAAGATGGATAGAATGGTTGATGGATGGTAGGATGAGGGAGGGATGAATAGGATGGAGAATGGATGGTAGATGGGGATGTATCATAGGATGGTGGATGGATGGATAGAATGTAGGATGGATGGTAGCATGGGGGATGGACAGTAGGATGGGAGATGAGTGGAAAGATGGATTCAAGATGGGTAGATAGAATGAGGAATGGATGGTAGGATGCTGAATGGATGGATAGGATGGAGAATGGAAGTTAGGATGGGGGATTAATGTTAGGATAGCAGTGGATGGTAGGATGGGGGATGGATGTAGAGGATGGGGGATGGATGGTAGGATGTGGATGGATGGTAGGATGGGGAATGGATGGTTAGGATGAACGATGGATGCTAGGACGGGAGATGGATGGTAGGATGATGGATGGATATTAGGATAGGGGATGGATGCTAGGAAGCAGATGGATGTTAGAATGGAGGATGGATGGTAGGATGGGAGATGGATGGACAGGATGGAGGATAGATGTTAGGATGGGAATGGATGGTAGGATGGGAGATGGATGGTATAATCTGGATAGATTGTAGGCTGAGGGATGAATGTAGGATGGGGGGTGGATGGATAGAATGAGAGATGGATGGTAAGTTGGATGTTAGGAGGGGAATGGATAGTAGAATGGGGGATGGATGGTAGGACAAAGGATGGGTGGTATGATGAAGGATGGATGGATGGATAGAGCAGGGGTGGATGGTCGGATGAGGGATGAATGGATGAATGGACTGAGGGATGGATGGTAGGATGACAGATGGAAGGATAGAATGGAGGATGGACGTCAGGATGTGGTATGGGGTTAGGATGGGGATGGATGGTAGGATGGGGTATGGATGGTAGGTTAGGGGATGAATGGATAAGATGGAGGATGGATGTTAAGATGGGGGATGGATGTTAGTATGGGGATGGAGGGTAGGTGGGGATGGATGGTAGGATGAGGGATGGATGTAGGATGGGGGATCGATGAATAGAATGAGGGATGAATGGTATATGAGCTTTGGATGGATATGATGGAGGATGGATGGTAGGGTGGGGGTTGGATGGATAAGATGGAGGATGGATGGATAGGAGGGGATGGATGTTAGGATGGAGGATGGAGGATGGATGTTAGGATGGGGGATGGACATTAGAATGGGGATGGATGGTAGGATCGGGAGTGGATGGTAGGATGGGATGGATGGTCGGATAAGGGATGGATGTAGGTTGGGGGCTTGATGGATAGAATGAGGGATGAATGGTAGGATGAGCATTAGATGGATATGATAGAGGATGGATGATAGGATGGGGTATGGATGTTAGGATGGGGATGGATGGATGGTAGGATGGGGATGGATGGATAGAATGTAGGATGGATGGTAGCATGTTGGATGGATGGTAGGATGGGAGATCAATGGAAAGTTGAATTAAAGATGGGTAGATAGTATTGGGGATGGATATTAGGATGGGGAATGGATAGATAGGATGGAGGATGGATGTTAGGGTGGGGGGTGGATGTTAGGATGGAGATGGATGGTAGGATTGGGGATGAACGGATAGGATGGAGGATGCGTCGTAGGATAGGGTATGGATGGTAGGATGGGGATCGATGGATAGGATGGAGGATGGATGGTACAATGTGGAATGGATGGATAGGATGGAGAATGGATGTTAGGATGGGGAGGATGTTATGATGGGGGATAGATCTTAGGATGGGGATGGATGGTAGGATGGAGGATGGTTTGTATGATGAGGGATGGATGGTAGGATGGGGGATGGATAGGATGTGGATGGATAGTAGGATGGGAGATGAGTGGAAAAACTGATGAAGAATGGGTGGATAAGATGGGAGATGGATGGTAGGATGGGGAATTGATGGATAGGATGGAGGGTGGATGGTAAGTTGGGGGATGGATGTTAGGATGGTAAGATTTGGGATGGTTGGATAGGATGGCGGGTGTACGGTTGGATGGGGGATGGATGTTAGAATGGGGATGGATGGTAGGATAGAGGATGGATTGATGGATAGGATCAAGGATGGATGGTAGGATGGGTGATGGATATATAGGATGGGGGATGGATGGTAAGATGAAGGATGGATGGATAGGGTGGAGAATGGTTTTTAGGATGGGGGATGGATGGTAGGATGGGGGATGCATGAACAGGATGGAGAATGGATGGTAGGATGAGGTATGAATGAATAGGATAGGGATGGATGGTAGGATGGGAAATGAATGGATAGGATGGGGGCTGAATGGATAGGAACGGGGATGGATGGTAGCATGGGGGATGGATGGATAGGATGGGGGTGAACGGTAGGATGAGGGATGGTGAATAAGATGCGGGATGAGTGGAAAAATGGATGACGGATGGATGGATGGATAGGAACGGGATTGATGGAGGGATAAATGGATGGATGATGGATGGATGGATGGATTGATGAACATATGGGTGGGCATGATGGGGGAAGTGAGAAAGAACTGGAAGATGGAAGATAGGCTGAGGGATGATGGAGGGGTATGGAAACTTGGATTGGGAAGGATGGAGGAACATAAGTAAGGGTGAGGAGGTAAATGGAAAGACAGGAACGAGATGTCAGCTGAGGGGAAGACAGAGAAGGCACAGGCAGCAGTTTGGGTAGATGGATGAAAGGCAGACAGATGGAAAGATAGATGGAGGGATGGAAGGATGGATGATCACAGGATTACGAATGGATGGGCAGCCCTCAACACAAGGGAAACGTCTCCCAAGTAGATGCCCATGAGCTCTCTGGCCTGACCCTCCCATCCCCTGGCAGGTGGGCATCGTTGGCAGGACAGGGGCCGGGAAGTCCTCCCTGGCCGGAGGCCTGCTGCGGCTCCAGGAGGCAGCTGAGGGTGGCATCTGGATCGACGGGGTCCCCATCGCCCAGGCGGGGCTGCACACCCTGCGGTCCCGGATCACCATCATCCCCCAGGTGTGGTTGGCGGGGGGGGGG